TGGTTGAGAAACACTGGTTTAGAGCATGCTGGCTGGGGAATTCTGGGAGTTGAAGTCCACACATCTTAAAGTTGCCATGGTTGAGAAACACTGGTTTAGAGCATGCTGGCTGGGGAATTCTGGGAGTTGAAGTCCACACATCTTAAAGTTGCCATGGTTGAGAAACACTGGTTTAGAGCATGCTGGCTAGGGAATTCTGGGAGTTGAAGTCCACACGTCTTAAAGTGTCCAAGGTTGAGAAACACTGGTTTAGAGCATGCTGGCTGGGGAATTCTGGGAGTTGAAGTCCACACATCTTCGAGTCCCCAAGGTTGAGGAACCCTGCTCTAAATGACTGATCTCAGGTTAAAGAATTCATGAACTGCAATTGTCAGGAAGACATAAGGCAAGTAATTTTGCACAAATCACCACCACGTTAATAAAAATAGGACACAGCTTGAATGAAACAGAAGTCCTGGCTCAACTCAAAGACACTCAGGCTGCAGGTACCCAAAGCAGAACAGCAACAGGGCCAATAGCCTCATGAGAAAAACTTTACTAACTCATTCTCCGCAACAATCTCTTAACTTTCGATCCAGCGCTCCTGTTCCAAGAAACTGGGAAGTGAACTCAAATTGCCGATCCAGGATTAGAAGACATGGACACCGGCAACTGCCAGGGAAAGACACATTCATCTTTGAAAAGCAATTTTAACACCAGCTCCTCAAATTGCTAGCTCAGATGTAAGAGTATTTCTTAACAGCTGAGAATTTCCAACTTTTCCTCTCATTATCTTCCAGAAAGCATATGAAAGGCAGAGGTCAATTGTCGATTATGCAAAGCTATGGATAAAGAAAAGTGAAAATGTTTTGCTCCAACCCGTGCTCCACTTTAAATTTGACAGCCAATGGGACACCATATGTCTGACAGCTGTCCAAGCAAAGCAAGACTTCAAAAAACAAAACAAGAAAAAAACAGGAGTACAAATCCTTCCCCACAGGACCCGGGATCTGGATTTGCAAGATGGGGCCTTAGCAGGAGAAACGTGGCAAGTATCAAAAATCCATTCAGAAGGCCACTGCTGGTTCTGGCTGCAGTATAACCCCAATGTGGGGAGACCGCAAATCTCAATGGGCATTCAGTGATCCGCTGTTAATGATGCAGAACTACAAAGCAAGTATCAGGAAGGAGCAAACTCCAATATCGTGATGTATAATGCTGCAGTAGGTACATTAGCAAGTGTAAGACACTCTCCTTTGTGTGCTGGCTGACACTCCCTTTTCCATGAAACTGTTCAACAAGTTCTGGAGCCTTCTATTTCTCAGCATGCAGATGCTGCTGCTAAACTGGAGCAGCAATTTTGGGGTACAGCCCTGTATGTGTAGAGAAAAGCATTGATTATACCAGTGTTTCTCAACCTTGGCAACTTTAAGACGTGTGGACTTCAACTCCCAGAATTC